CAAATAAAAAAATAAATAAAAAAAACCCTTTTTTTAAACAAAGGATATATAATATTGAATAACGCAATATAATATAATATTGAAGAACCCAAAGCACACCAAGTTAATCTTGCACATAAAAAAGATTTTATTAGGTAGAGATTTGATTAAAATAGTACAATTAAAGTCCAAACAGTATATAAGGCATGCAAATAAAGAGTAACATACCTATTGTACATGTAAAATTCAAAGAAAAGTACTTAATGAAATAACCCACATAACCACAATAACATAGGCATACTGACCGAGAGCAGGAGATACAGCAACCCTGACGTTTCAGCGAATAGCCTTCCTCAAGGGGGATCTAAAACATTTTGGTCCCTGTTCCTATTTATATCCCATTGTTCTAAGGGTAAACATAATCTTTAACAGAATAGTTAGGGGGCCTGCGACTACGACCGATAGGTCTATTTTAAAGTGGGATGACTTCCGGATTTCGAAATGACGTAATCACATATGCGTGACATCTAACGTCATCAACGCATGACGTTATCACGCGTGTGACGTATCGGACGCATTTTCGGTGTTAGATTACTACTCCAATTGCGTCACTGTGTTACAAAATATTTGCAGACATTCCACCAACTTAATTACTTTTTAGATCCCTAAAAACTAATGATGGTCTATACCCTCTTTAAGGATCCTGTTCCAAAATGGACTTGACGCACTTTTATAAGGTGACAACATATATCACATCACTATACAAATGGGGGGTGAATTGGGGGGAGAAGACAGTACAATAGAGACAGACAAAAACAAAAATGCTTAGATAGATAGATTGATTGATAGATAGATAGAATCTGGAAACAAGGCCTTCACAGACTATACTATGATGACAACAAGGACATCTAGTCCTTAAAGGGATACTCCAAGCACCAATACAACGTTAATGAATTTGATAGGTTTTAGCCTCATTAATATGCTGTAATTTTTGCATGCTCAACTTGTTTTGCACAAAATAAATAAATGTTTTGCACCATAATCCTGCCACTTTGACCACACACCCTCAGGCTAGATGTACTTCCTTATTAAAGGTATGCACAGTTTTAGTCTCAACAGCACTGAGTGAGCAGCTTTTAATTCACATCCTGGCTGCAGACAGTCATAGAAACTATAAACAGGAAGTGATATGATTACAGGATGCCTCCCATTTAGATAAAGAAGATACAATAAAAATAGAAAGTGTGCACCAAGTAACAAACTATGTAAATAGATACTAGAAAAAGATTCAAAATATATAAAAAGATATTAAAAAAAAATTTTTTTTAATCGCTAAAGAGTCCAAATAGATAATAGTTCTTAGGAGGAGCCGGATGGGGACAACTTTTAGGAATCCGTATATGGAAACAGACATAGGATAATAATGCTATAGGTCCTATAAAAAACAGTATATAAAAGTATATGGTCTGATGTGGTCCTACTCCCGTGTAGTAGAGCTTAAAACCAGCTCTAGTATGAATGGCATACAACTGTACAATCCCCACTTATAGGATACGTGAAGAGATGTAAATATCACAGCAGTGTGTAGACCATAAAAGGGTTAAAAAAGAGACAACAAATAGTGCTCACTGTATGAAAGAATAGTAGGGTATAAATAACAAAATGTATACTCACATTTAATTGAGCAGGCGTGAGGGGTATAATCCCCATCTAGGATTTCTTTGCAGTAAATACTCATCTGGAATAGTAAAATCTGGATACCAGGCAGTAATAGTAATAAAAGTATAAAATAATAAAAAAGTAAAATGGCCTTTATTCAACACAATAATAAAATATCCACAACGCGGAACCTAAAGAAGGATATTTAAATAAGAGATATCTGGCTAGCCAACGGTGGCGTGGCCTGTGGGCATGGTTAAAGTGATAGACAGAAAGGGAGGGGAATGAACATACATAATTATATAGTGGACAGTATAGGGAGATACAATACATAATAATATCATTAACAAATGTCTGAATACATATATCACAATGGCAAAACAAGTAAATAAAATAAAAAATAATGGTATAATATTGGAAAATGCAGATTAAAATGTACATTTAATTATACAAAATTTTAAAGATCAAAGTCTGCATTTAAACCTTTTGGGGCAAGTTTTTTTTAAAAGAAACACCCAATACATTTATGTTTTACCTAATGTTTTTTTGATACCCCCACCTCTCCAAGGGAGTTTGCATTTCTGGATCCCAATACACTTAAGATATTTAGGATTTTTGCCATGTTTTAAAAAATGTTTAGATATGGGGCGATTAGGGTATCCTTTTGCAATTATGACAGTGCTCAGCCAGTCTAGTTTTTAAACATCTTAAAGTCATGCCTACATATTGTAAGCCGCATGGGCACTCAAGTAAATATATCACATTTTTAGTATTACAGCATATGAGGTCTTTTATAGGGTAAGATTTTTTAGTATTGTTGGATATAAAGTGGTGTATCTAGGTGTATCTGGGATATAATCTTTTAAAATATTGTCTTGCTATAAAATGTGCTAATGTTTTTAATTCTTTTGACAGTTTTACTTTTATTATTACAATTGAATAGGACAGGCATAAATGGAGAATCTTTCTTGTTTTTTGATTTGTATTCTAAGAGGTCTTTTCTGTCTTTATTGGTAACTATTTCCAATGTCTTATTATGATTTGTTGGTGAGTACTTTTTGTTCAATTAATTTATTTTTTAGTGTTTTAGTGTATTTTTTAGCCTGTTCTTCAAAGTCTTTAGTGCTTGTACAATTTCTGCGGAGGCGTAGGAATTTACTTTTTGGAATTCCATTTAACCAGGGTTTAAAATGACAACTAGATTGTTCAATCACCATATTTGTGCAGACCTTTTTGAAAAAAAGTTTTTGTATTAATAATGCCATCTTTTATAAAATATTCTAAATCTAAAAAATTTATATGATTGCTACTATGTTGCAAAGTTAAAATCAAGCCATGATTGTTAGTATTAAGATGATTTAAAAATTGTGTGAGGGAGGTCTCTGAACCTTTCCAGATAAAAAAAAAAGAGATTGTTTATGTATCTAAAATATGTGGCCAGGCATGTTCCCCCCAAATGGCCTCTGACTCCCATTCTGCCATGAAGAGATTAGCATAGCTGGGGGCAAACCTAGTCCACATAGCCATGCCTTATTTTTGAATATAAAAAGAATCTAAAAACCAAAAATAGTTGTTTAAAATTACTTTGATCCATTGTATAATACAACAATCTGTTCTCCTGGTATAGATTTGGCTTTCTTCAAGATATTAAAAACTGCTTTACAACCTTTTTGGTGGGGGGTGATAGTGTACAGTGATTGTATGTCACAGGTGACTAAAATATAATCAGGATACCAAATAAAATTATTTTGAAAAACTAAGAGTCATATATTCATTAAGATAGGATTTCATAACTTTAACTGATGGCTGTAAAAAAAAAAAAATATGTATTTTGATAATTTGGACAATACAGAGGCTTTCCCAGAGACGATAGGTCTACTTGGGGGGCTATCTTGATTTTTATGTATCTTCGGTAGAAAATGAATAACAGGATTTTTGGGTATAGTCAGGGCCGGCCTTAGGGGTGTGCGAGCGGTGCGCGCCATGGACCGGGGGCGCCATATCGCTGACACAGCCCGCACATAGCTGGTGCCAGGGGAGTTAAAAGAGGTACCTGGGTGGAGGATTTCATTATTCTCCTCCCGGGTCTATTAAAAAAAAAGAATTGAGGCAGCAGGGGCGGGGCTTAACAAGTGGCGGGGGCTTAACGGGGGGCTTATACATACCCGAAGCCCCTGGAAATACCTACCCGAAGCTGCACAGGAAGAGGAAAACAGGAAGGCACCCCTGCTTCCCCAACAACCAACTGTATCCACTACCCCTTCCAGCCATAATGGAAAGAGGTAAGTCTGTGTGTGTGTGACTGTGACTGCCTGTCTGTGTGTTTCTCTTTGCCTGTTCATGTGTCTGCCTGCCTGTGTGTGTGTGTGACTGTCTGCCTGACTGCCTGTGTGCGTGTGTGACTGTCTGTAAGTATGGCTGCCTGCTTGTGTGTGGCTGGCTGCATGCCTGTGTATGTGACTATCTGTGTGACTGCCTGTCTGTGTGTTTGTGTGACTGTCTGTCTGCCTGCCTGTGTGTGTGTGTGTGTGTGACTGCCTCCCTGTGTGTGTGTGACTGTGTGACTGTCTGCCTGTCTGTGTGTGGCTGTCTGCCTGTGTGTGTGACTTTCTGCCTGTGTGTGTGACTCCAATTGTGTGTGTCGCTGTAGCTGTGCCATTGTGTGTGCCTGTGCCTGTATGTGTGACTATCTGCCTTTAACTGAGTGTGTGTGTGCCTATTGTAATGGATCACCTGTATTCCGACCGAGTACCTTCCATTGACGGACACTTCTTAGCTTGCGCCGAGGACCACAAGCACCGCACCGGACACCACAACCACCGCAGACTCCACAACCGATGTAGCTTAACTGGAGTCTCGCCATCTTCCTTCCACCCTGGATCAGCCTCTGTCCTCCAGGACTGTGTGGGAAAGACCTCTCCTCCAGGAGAGCGTATCAGGAACAGCTCTTAAAAGAGCTCAGTGATTAAAGCTCAGGAGAGTATACAAGGGTTAGCAATCCCCAGTGTGATTATAGCAGTTCCCCTCCAATCACGAGACAAGACTAGATGTTGAGGGTCAAACAGGAACAGAATGCACTGAGGCTTTATTGCTTCTTTTATACACATTTTCCAACAAGTTTACCACCCACATGGACCTTGTTGGGCACTGAAAATACAAACGTTACAACCAATCATATACAGATACACAGTTAAACTCTCCCAGGGGCCACAGTCACAAGGCAAGAGGCTGGAAATTAGTCCTCTCCAGGCACAAGTGGTGAATGGCACTTCGTCACACCTATCATTGTGCGTGAGTGTCTGCATGCCTGTAACGGAGTGTGTATGACTGTCTGCTTGTAATGGAGTATGTGTGACTGTCTGCTTGTGACTGTGCATGTGACTTCTGCTTGTGACTTGTGTGCCTGTCTGCCTTTAACTGTGTGTTTAGCTCTGTGACTGTCTGCCTGTAACTGAGCATGTGTGACGGTCTGCCTGTAACTGTGTGTGTGTGTGTGTGACTGTCTGCCTGTAACTGAGCGTGTCTGACTGTCTGCTTGTAACTTTTTGTGTGACTGTCTGCTTGTACCTGTGTGTGTGACTGTATACAGGCAACTTGGCGGGGGGAGGGGGGACGCCGTGAAGACTTTTTGCGCCTAAGGCTGGCCCTGGGTATAGTATATTAAGATAGTCAAACTCTTTTTTGCTAAGAATATTAGTTTGAAGACCTTCTGATAAAAATTATTTAAGTTTGTTTTTAATAGAAGGGGTGGGGTCTGAGGCTAGTTTCTCATAAACTATGAGGTAATTTAGTTGTCTTAATGCTTCATTTATGTACATAGTTTTTAAGAGTATAACTAAGCCACCCCCTGTGTCTGCTGGTTTTATGATAATGGATTCATCTTTTTGTAGTTCTTTAAGAGCTATCTGTTCATAGAGGATAAAATATGGTGTTGGTGTCTATATTTTTTTATTTTATCGAGGTCTGTTAGCACATTTTTTTAAAACATAGAAAAAATCCCAAATACATTAAGTGTATAAGGATCCAGAAATGTAAACTCTCTTGGAGAGGTGTAGATATAAAAAAAACTTTAGGTCAAAAATGTATTGGGTGTTTCTTTAAAAAGCCTTGCCCCAGAAGGTTTAAATGCAGACTTTGATCTTTTAAATTTTGTATAACTAAATGTACATTTTAGTCAGCATTTTCCATTATTATACCATTACTTTTTATTTTATTTACTTGTTTCACCATTGTGATATATATATTTAAACATTTGTTAGTGATATTATGATGTATTGTATCTCCCTATACTGTCCACTATATAATTATGTATGTTCATTCCTCTCCCCTTCGTCTATCACTTTAACCACACCCACGCCACCGTCGGCTAGCCAGATATCTCTTCTTTAGGTTACTTTTACTACCTCCATATCTATATCATCACTTTATATTCTAATTATAAGACACCTACGGTCTAATACCATACCCCTCTGACCCATAGACTACATTTCCCATAATCACCTTAACAGCCAATAAACACGCCACTTTTCCCAAGCAGCTTGGTCTGCTCTAAAAAATTACTAAATTCCCCACAAAATACCGCATTTTACGCCCCTTTACTTTTGCTACCCGAGCAGCAAGGTCTCCTCTAGGTAGAACCTTACTCCTTATAATCCTACTCACGTAATTTTAACTACATATCCCATACTTCTCAGCAGGAAATCCCAATCTCCAATATGGCCGCTGATCATGTGATGTAATTTAACATCAATTTTAACACTGTTAAAAGCCTTGTTTTTATGCCAAAAATTAACCACAAGTCCAACTTAATCTACACTATCTATATGTATAACTCTCTTTATAATTTTAATATGTTAAATTTCTACCTGTGACGTCATTTGGGCACCAAAATTTGAAATTGAGTTACTATCAGTCCCCTATATATACCCTACCCTACCAGGCATGTCTTTGCATCTCCACTTGAGAAAGCCATATAGGCGAAACGCATTGGCAATTTTATTATTGTGTTGAATAAAGGTATTTTGGTTACTTTTAAATTATTTGATTGTACCATTTTACTTTTTTATTATTTTATTCTTATATTACTATTACTGTCTGGTATCCAGATTTTACTATTCCAGTTGAGTATTTACTCCAAAGAAATCGTAGGTGGGGATTATAACACTCACGTCTAATTCATTGAGCAGTCTGCCTGCTCAGTTAACTGCGAGTAAACATTTTGCTATTTATACTCCTATTATTCTTTTATACAGTGAGCACTATTTGATGTCTCTTTTTTAATCCTTTTATGGTCTACACACTGCCGTGATATTTTTATCTCTTCCTGATCCTATAAGTGGGGATTGTACCGCTGTGTGCCATTCATACTAGAGCTGGTTTTAAGCTCTACTACACGTGAGTAGCACCACATCAAACCCTATATTTTATATACTGATTTTTATAGGACTTATTGCACTATTATCCTTTTTCTGTTTTCACATACGGATTCGTAAAAGTTGTCCCCATCCGACTTTTTTTTTTTTTCAAAGCCCAAAGTCTAGAAGACCGAAACATAGGACTCGGGCCTACCTCCCACCGGCCTTCCTTGACCTGGAGTACTTCCTCAGCGGAGCTCACGTGCAGAGTAGACCTGACACAGGAAGGCTTCCTACCTCAACCACTGATGAGACTCCAGTGACAATGCTTCGGCGCACGCAAAAAAACACAACCTGGCTCCTCTACTGAACAACCCAACATTGGAACCCTATTAAAGCGGCAGACGCAACCTAAGATGGCTGCCACAGCGGCCCCAGCCACACCAACACCATCCCGCTCTGCAGCCCACTCTCCTACACTGAAAATGTCAGACCTTCTGAGTGTCCAGCTCCCATCACTGGTGGTCCCACATGACAATGACCTTGCAACTAGAAGGGACAAAACTGGGTGCAAGACCTTCAGAAAATTATTTCTACAGATCTGGGAATCCTTAAGGTAGATGTGCAAAATATCACTGACCTTGTCAGGGCAATAGAGGAGGATATTATCAACATTCACAGCAGTGTGTTTAATATGAAGGGCACTATGAAGTAAATGCACAACACCCAACATGCACTCTCACTGCAAATGTCCACCCAAGAAGACCTTGTATGGCACAACCATGTTAGAATTTCACTTTAGTGGCATTTGTCCTTGAGCCGCCTCACTAACCACCTACGCACTGCAGGGATACCTTACCCTTGGGGAATGCCAAGATCCCTCACAGTTACCCACTATGGCACGGTAGACAAGATTTCCTCTGAGGTAGAAGTGCCTGCACTAAAGATCAAATTGGGACTCTCAAATACATCCACTGATGCACCCCAGCAGACCACCTCTTGGAATCCAGCCAACTTAATACTGCAAACTGTGGGCCTTTTGTCCACAGTATTAACAGAACAGGTCAGATGACTGGATGTATGGACGAACATGCCTCTGACAGTTCAGAGGGTAGTTGTACAATCTCTATATGCCGACGGCTCACCCGTTATGTTTTGTACTTTTCTTCTTTTCTTTTTACTATTCATTGTATTTTGTTTGCATGTACAATGCCCTTAGCATCAGTATCTGTCCTGGTTGTTGTTGGTAGAACGCACCCAACTTATTAAGGGAGCATCATAGTCACATCACACAGCTATACAATTACACCACAGTTTGATATGCAGACCACTCCCACTGCCCCCTTGGTTAGGGATAACGAAATCTCACAAATGGCCTATGTATCTTTCAAGAATACTGTTAAAACTCTGGGGATCCCTTATCTGGCCAATTTGTGTTAACTCCCATGAAAAGATTCACACAACATACCCTGAACAGTCCCTTAGAAAAACACCTAAACCCACACATTGAGGTTTAAGGTTCTTACCCACACTGATTTCAGGTATACCGAGACGGACAAAAATTAGCTCCCTGACACAAACACACCTGGGCATACCTTAATCCTTGGCCATATGTTTCAAGTGATGCACCTAAGGCACCCATTCTGAGATAAGCAGCAATGATTTGCCCAGAAGGGCCATTAAGAATCTCGGACGTAACTCAGTTTGCATTTGTCATAGCCCCTTCATGCACTCACTTTCGCTTAACATAGAACTTCACAGGTCAATGGTGTATGTTTCAAGAAAGCTCTTGATTAGAGTTGAGCGGACACCTGGATGTTCGGGTTCGCCGAGTTCGGCCGAACTTCATCATAAAAATCGAGTTCTTGCTCGAACTTGACCCGAACTTCACCCAGAACTAGAACCGAACATTTGCACACTAAAATGCCTCTAAAAAAGTCCTGGAAAGGGCTAGAGGGCTGCAAATCGAAATAAAATGGGGGTAAGAGTAGGACAAGTGTGGATAGGGCAAATCACTTAAAATAACATAAAATAAGCAGCCACTTAGTAGATAACTCCCTAATTCCCACGGTATTAGGGAGCTATCTACCAAATGGCTGAAAGACCTAAATTGGTCTTTCAGCCACATTTATTAATACTAAGTAAAGATTACTTAGTATTAGTAAATTCAGCCCCTACTCGCTATACTGCGAGTAGGGGCATGTATAGTAAACAGTGAGCAGCCAGTGGCTGCTCACTGTAAAAAAAAAAAAGAACCTATTGGCCCCCACCCCTGAACGGCAGGTGGGGGCCCTAAAGTAAAATAAGGGGGGACCAAAATAACAATGAGGGGGGTGACCTACTGTCCTCCCCTCTGGCCCCCACCCCTCTAAATAAGATTGAGGGGGGGCCTACTGTCCCCCTCCCCTGGCCCCCACCCCTGTGCGGCAGGTGGGGGCCCTAAATAAGATTGAGGTGGGGGACCTACTGTCCTCCTCCCTGGCCCCCACCCCTGCACGGCGGGTGGGGGCCCTAAATTTAGAATAAAGGGGGGACCTATTTTCCTCCCCCCCCCGGCCCCCACCTCTGTGCGGTGGGTGGGGGCCCTAAATAAAAATTTAATGAGTCAAATTACGCAGCATGGGACAATTCCAAAGAACTTTCCCACGCTGTGTAAAATGACACAGAGCACTCTGATTGGTGGATTTCAAGCCAACCAATCAGAGTGCTGTGACTGGTAAATGTAGAGACTTACCTGTCAGTCTCTTCATTTGCCTGTCAGAGCATTCTGACTGGATGGCTTAAACCACCAATCAGAGTGCTCTGAGCCTAATTGCAGGGCGGGGCAAGGCTGTTGTACTCAGGAGGCCTTGCTGAACACAAATATTAGAGTTTCAAAACAGTAAAATGTATCACGATGATTAAATCATCTGTGAAAATTCTGTTTTTTTTTTTGCTAAATATGCAAAAAAAAATATGAACTAACTTTGGCCTGTGCTTGTGACTAAGTGGCTATTAAAAATACTGGACATACCCCATTTTAAATACCCTTTTGCAAATGATATGCCATAATGGGGGTAATGTCAATACTGGGCTGCCATATGGTCTCATGGGCAACATAACCAATCTGGCAAAGTTTAATGTGTAGATGGGCAAGCCTTATATTTAACCCTGTAACTTTCCAAAACCCCATAAAACTTAGATATGGGGATCCTGTTGTGCTCGTGAGACATCCCTGAACATAAATATGAATGTTTTAGAGAAGTAAAATGTTTAATGCTCAGGATATCATTAATGAAAATAAATTTTGTTTTTGCTAACTTTAGCCAGTGTTTGTGACTAATTGGCTACTATAAAGACTGGGCATACCCTATTTTGAATACCCTGGGTTGTCTACTTTTGAAAATAGTATGCCACGATAGGGTTAATTTTCAAATTTCGGTGTGCATAAACTGAAAATGGAAAAGCTCTACATTTAACCCTGTAACTTTCCCAAACCCCATAAAACCTGTACGTGGGGGGTACTAATGTTCTCATGAGATATCACTGAACACAAATATGAGTGTTTTAGAACAGTAAAAACTAGCAATATTATAACATTCACAGTTAAAATGCCACGCAAAACTAAAATAATGTCTTAACTTCTCAATTTTTTTAGGTTTTATTCATATTAAATTATGTTTCATGCATAAATATTTGATGTGAAATGAAAGCCCTGTTTCTCCTGAACACAATGATATATAGGTGTGGTTGCACAAAATATGAAAGAGGTGAATTACGGTTGAACAGACATGTAGCGCAAATTCAAGGTTTTGTTTGTTTTGTTTTGATCAGAATTTGCACAATTGCCTTGTTCTTACCGGGTTAATGTACATTTAATTTGTTTAATAATTATAAAATTAAGTGTTTACTACCAAAATAGTATTTACATCATATAATCTAATCAATAATCATAGCCATGCAACAGAATGTTTTATTATCCTTATTGCAAAATATGCATGCAGCTTTTCTTGATAGTTTTATGTAAATAATTAAGTAAATAAATAAATAGCTAGATTGGTAATCCAACTGCTTAGTATACACAGCATACAAATAGTGGCCTTGTTAATGCCTGCAAGGTATGCAAGCAAGTCAGGACATTCTAAATTAAACTCAATGTAGCCCCATTATCACTTTTATCCTTTTACAATGAGACTGTTAGCTATCTCATGTATAGACTTCCTTACGGTGTGAGCTGTGTTTTATTTTGTATTTTATACTGTATTCCTTTAGTGTAATGTGATGAATGGATGTATTTGAACACTTAAAGCGCTAATAATATATGAGGTAATGTGTAATTGATTTGAAAACTTACTAATAGAGTCAATAGAGCGGATAGCAAGGAAAAGCATTTACAATAATCTATTGGATACTCATTAGTCAGCATGTACATCAACAAGATGCTAATGCAGGGCTAGATTTACATGTCAGGCGTCTGTAGGCACAAAGGCACCCCCTGCTCTCCAACCCACAAAAATGCATATTAATAAGTATAATAAATGTATTACCTGGACATTGCAGGCCTAAAAACATCTAAAAAAATATATATTTACATCTGACATTTGCAAATGTATAAATGTATGTATGTGCATATTTCTACTTGTAAGGTATTCTATTTAAAACTGAGTATAGTGAGAGTATGCAGCTGTATAAATGTATGCCGGGTTAAAGATAAAGCTAGAACTGGTTATGGTAAAAGGGGGGTTTCAGGTTAGAGGGGGGTCAATGTCAGAGTTAGATTACATAAGGGGTTTAGTGTAAGTAAGATTAATAGTTTATGAGGGATTAAAGGTGTAGTATAAAGGGGTTTTAGGATTAGGGTTAAAGTTGGGTTAAATTTTAAATTGGCGTACATGAGATGTTAGGTTTTTAATAGTTGTTTAATAGTTGTTAATATGATTTTGTTGTTTAGGCTTTGAATGCTGGAGTTTGAAAAGTTATTTGCAAAGTAGTCTCCCTCCTTTGTTTTCTGCAGACCAGTCTCCTAAAACTGATATTATAGCTGCAGGACTTGTTATACAGTGTGCATCATTGAGAGCTTCCCCTGCTCCTTCTGCAAGCTATTTCCTGTGTGAGAGGTTACTGGTGGGCAAATGGGAATTGAACCCTTCCACTTACTGTCTAGTCTCACACACACACACATACTAGTGGAGCTGGGACAATACTGAGTTTTACAACCTCTATAACCGTTCCTGTAGGTCTGATATTAATGCTGACTGGACTGCAGAGGGCACTGGCCAAGGCTCCTAGTACTTATCTCTCCACCAAGTTATTTAACCCCTTAAGGACCAAACTTCTGGAATAAAAGGGAATCATGACATGCCACCCCCCACCCCCAACCAACCTTAAACCCACTGATACTAAATGCTTTTTTCCTCTAAATAGTTTAGAAATACCTGTTTTAATCCTTACTTTTATCAGATGTTCTGCTCCTCCTGTCCACCAATGGCCGTGTTCCAGCGATTCTCTGAGAATCAGTAATGACATGCCTTACTGGGCATGCTGGAACTTAGTAATGCAATTTGCATCATTTAACACATGCCCACAATGCCTGCCCAAGAAGTACTCAACCTAAGGTACACTACAAATACAGCATCCAGAAACTATAACTTAGATACTACGCCATACACAAAAACTTACTCAGAACATTAGGTATTATATAGTGTCATGTGTTTATTATAAATAAACAGAGACAGACAAACTCATAAGTACCTATAGAGTTTTATGTTCTGTCTTTCTATCTATATCTATCTGTCTGTCTGTCTGTCTTTATCTACTTTATATATATATATATATATATCTTTATCTATGTATGTATGTATGTATGTATGTATATCTCTGGGCACAACTTATTTCTTGCATTACAAGGAGGGAGAGGAGCACATATGAGGTGGCTGGGAACAGGGAGATTTTTAAAGAAAGGAATAAAGGAAGGAGAACAGAATAAGGCTACATAAATGCTATAAAATAGAAAGAAATTAAAGAAAACAGAAGTGAGGGCAAAAGAGTAACACAGTATATTACACATACTGCACTTATTCTTGTCACTTTGTTCAGCATGTGCTGTGAGCATTCCCTACACTACAAAATACAGTTTTTATGTTTATAGGCTGAAAAGGTTATGTTTCTTTTAGAGACTGGGAATCAGGAACATGTAGAAATTTGAGAGGAGGAAGGCTCATGATGCTGGGTTACATTGCTGGAAACGGCAAACCATTTTACAGCACTGCAGAAAATACTACACAGAATTGAAAGAAAATAAACTAACCACAAGTATTTCAGCTCATTAACTTTAATTTAAGTTTAATTGTTTAGCTGCCTGAAATGTCCCTTTAAGCTCAAAAAGGCACACTATAAGTGCTGGAAATAGGCGTCTTTTTAAACTTTGTTTTGCTTTAATTTTGCTAAGACAAGAAAAAACACATTTTGCAGCTGTCTACATTGTAACTCTGCCCCCTTAGAAGAGAAGGATTACGATCCTGCAGAGGCCAGTTTGCGCCGCCTTTTTCATTCTTTACATAGGATTGGTTAATACTAGGGCCAAGCAAATTCATGGTTTGGAGGCCCTCTGTCAAATCCCTGAATCCTATACAGTCGCCTAAGGTTTCATAATTGTTAATCCTGGACGTTACAAAGTAACATTTTTATCAGACATACTCTATGTATTTACTCTGAGTGACCAGGGTTGCTGACATGACTCCCCCACACCTCTAATGACTGTCCTCTTAATATATTTTCCCTTAGCACAGCTTTGAAATACTATTTTGATAATAAAATGACAGTGTTTCTCAGGATGGAGTAAGTTCAATCGAAAATCACAAAAATAATTGGAATAAACAAGAGTATAACATACAGCTTGTTTTCTAGCAAGCAACGTGCCTTTTACCCACAGATAGACAAACAGAGAATACAGATACAGACGAACAGTTGTTTCTTTAAAAAGTTGGTGAGATAAAAAAGAATTGCAAGTTTTAATGGCAGAAGTATTTTGATAGAGTGATTTCAGTCTGCACCCTTCATTTTTACCTCAATCAAGGAACAATGTTTCTTTGTTCACTCTATCTAGCACTCGCCTGAGCAAAGCTTCATCTAAAATAGTTATTGTATGCAATATTTCATTACAACAGGTACAACACCCTGTAGAGTGAGACACAAATACATGTGATGCAACACTTCACACTTGAGTAGGAGGCATTCATTTTTCACACAGCAGTGGTCCATTTATGTGTACAAGGAACAATCATTTGCTTCCAGAGACGAAAAGAAAACATGTTGGAGTGCTCAATATACTGTTACATCCTTGTCAATAGATTTAAAGATTGGACACTGGAGAATTTAATAAAAATCAATAAAGCATAAAATTGTTTATGTCAAGAGCTTACGTTAAAAATGGCTTAGTTGTGTAAGACTGTCAGGATGGGCATTGCCACGTATGAGAAAACTGCTGTTTCCTTCCCCCATTTAGCACAAATACAAGAAAATTTGGCACTAAATTGCTATGCGGTATATCTCTACTGCTATTGAACACACTTAAAATTGCATGTGCTATGTTTCCCAGGAATAGAAGCATAAACTGTCCTCGATAAACAAAATATGATTATGGTGATTACACACCTTAGTTAGCAAGTTAGGGAGGTCCATTGTGACAACAAACTTTACACATTATGGCAGGGGATAATTATTCACTCTATTAGAGCATAGTGAACTACTTTTCCCCTGTCTGTTTTCTACCTTCACTGGTTAAATCCAATCTGTAGTTTTTGGATTATATATCTAACAGGTAAATAGAAATATACAAAATAAGCAGCTAGTTAGTCAAACAGTTAACCGTATGTTAAACAAAAAGGTTATCTATTTGGTACAGCAGGCACATCCCTTTTCTATGATAACCACTTATCCACTTATCTTTGAGGACAAAGATTCTTAGATTCCAGGTTCTTAGAGTCTTCTTTTGACCTATCCATGTTGGCATCTGTCAGCAGTTACTAAAGTGGGCTCAGTGTAGAGAGTACGTATGAACTGTCTAGAACTGTAGAGAGTCACTGAGAAAGTGAGAACACTGGATGGAGTAGAAAACACAGCTAAATATTTAGCTCTCAAGACAAAGCCCTGGGTGCAGGCCATTGAACTACATAGCACAGAGTCCCTGGGGAAAACTAGACAGTTTTAAGCTGTAATAGCTCTGTTGGTGTCCCTCTGCTTTCTTAAAACTGGTTACACCCCTCTGGCTTTCAATCAGACAACATGTCCTGTTACTTTCTGCTGTTACTTTCTGATTTGGTTAGCTCAGGTGCACTGAACTGAGGCAGCAACTGCCCAGAGCACCTGCCTTGCAAAGACTTCTCATTGAGCTTCATTGGGAAGTCTGTGATTGGACAGCCACAGAAACACTGGGAAGGGGAGAGAAGGGCTTGCAAAGGCAGCAGCAAGATATCTGCAGTTTCTGCAAGATGTCTTTAGATATAACTGAAAAAAATGCATAATTAAATGCATGCAAGTTTTCATTTGCGGAATATTTACTAAACAGTGATATACAATTTCTGTTTGGGGAGTGGGGTGTACCTTTAAACTTCACTGATGGGCTTCAGGCGATAGGTAATGCATTATTTTGTCAATCCAGTTGAGAATAGTTTGACAAAAACAGGAGGAACAGCACTCCAATACTGTCATCATAGACTGCACTAATGGTGCTTCTTGTGTCCCTTTTAATAAATATATTTTTGATAACACAACTAGTATGTATATCACACTAGAATGAGGCTAAAGTGCATAATAGAGCAATTGTGGTATGGCCATTATATATATTTTAGAAACCAAATGCATGTTTGTTTTTCAGAATCTTAATATTTGGCATTCCTATCAATAATGCACCCCAATAATCAATTTTAGGTAGAATGATTAACTAATATTTCTATCCATAAAACAAACTGCAATAAATTATTCTTTCTTTAAAAAAGCTATAGTAACATAATCTGCACTAATTATTATTTTGAGAAGCCATCAATTGAGAGCAAATAGGTAATAATTAAAACATGCGCACAGAGGACTGGCAAATGGAGAGAAATCTCAATGTATCTTTCCTGGTAAAATATTTTATAAATAAATAAATGTCAAGACATTTAATGTGCCTGGTAAATACATGGAAATGTCTCCCTTGGATATTGTTCTTTTGTTGGAGGATCATTACAAAATATTTTACCCTTTCATTAACATTTTGCATTTCCACCCACAGATAGATAAAACAGAAGATAAATCTTTGGAAGAACGTGGGCGAATTCTTATATCCTTAAAGTACAGCTCACAAAAGTCAGGACTCCTGGTAGGAATCATTAGATGCGCTCATCTGGCAGCAATGGATGCAAATGGGTACTCTGATCCTTATGTAAAAACGTAAGTTCAGCATCTTTGATTTCAGACTAATACAACCTCAGACAGATGGATGCAATTATGGTGGTAATACTATTGGTCCAGTGATGGAAACAATAAGAGCAGGTACAGACAGTGACATTAATGGTGGGTTCATTTTACTGGACACCCTTGCCAAACAGCGGTTATTATGCAAACATGCATTAATGTAATAACCAGCCCGACTTAAAAATAATTTTTTTTTTTGTATTTGCACTGTAACTACTAAAACTATGATAGTGCTAATAGTGCTATATGGTGAATAGTGAAGAAAATGTGCATTAGAATTATGACTTGCAGAAAAACCAGATTGCAGCTTATTTTTATTATGAAGTAAACCAACATGATAAAGTATGTTTAAGGTTTGAATACACTTGCATAGTTATGGAATTTAACAGAAAAAAAATAGTAAGCAACTGTTAATGTGTAACAGGTACTGTAACAGGAGTGTTCCTTCAACTTGCATTTCAGTAGATGCTGGTGCGTAGGGGCTTTGGGGCAGATCCCCAACAGGTTTATATGAGGGGAAAATAATATTTGCAGTAGTTTAGAAACACTAATATTTTTTTTCTGGAGGGTGGTAAGCCAAAAAATATGGGAATAAATTAATGGCTCTTTAATTCTGTAATAGGTTTCAGATCTGCAGGGCTCCTCCCCAACTCATGGGTAGGTGTTTGGACAATCTTACTTAAGAGGATCTAGGCAAGTCAAAAATGCGTCTGGTTTGAAATCTGTCCTGTTTCATGTTTTTGTGTCTTTTAAGAAGGAATTGCAGAAATTTTCATTTGAGTTGCCATTTGGGATCATATTACCACTAGATTAATTTTATATATATATATATATATATATATATATATATATATAATTAAAAGTTATAAGGAGTCTATCAATGCCGTGCTGTTTTAACCCTGTGTATGTACACTGTGTGCTGCGTGCTAATAGTGAGTCAGGCGTAGCTGACATGGTTGGAGTCTGTCACATCTTGTGTGCTGAAAACTAATTGAGTAGCTGACATGTTATATAACAGCAGCAATATTTAATAGAAAGCTAAAGTTATTATAGTAGGAGCACTACCGAAGGTGAGATCATGTAAGAAAGAGCTAATAGAGCAGTGATGGCGAACCTATGGCACGCGTGCCACAGGTGGCACGCCGGGCCCTTTCTGTGGGCTCGCAGCCACAGGTTCGCCATCAATGCAGAGTAGGCGCCTGCCCGAAACGGCAGGCGCCTACTCTGCTTCCGGGTCGGGAGGCAGGGAGAGGGCTCTAGGAAGCAGCTCCCCTGTCCTCCCGCGCGATGCTGTGTGGAGCGTTGCCGCGCATTAGCGTTGCCGCGCATTACCATGGCAACGCTCCACACAGCATTGCGCAGGAGGACAGGGGAGCTGCATCACAGATCCCTCCCCCTGCAGTGCTTACCACCACCGGACCACCAGGGATGGCTGTGTCCCTCTTCTTACTCGTGCTGTAAAGAAAGAGGGGGTTACACTGATACAGCACCCCTACCCCCCAGCAGTGCAACCCCTACCCCCCAGCAGAAACCCCTAAACCCCCCCAGCAGAACCTCCCCTAACCCCAGCAGAACCCCTAACCCCCAGCAGAACCCCTAACCCCCAAGCAGAACCCCTACCCCCAGAACCCCTACCCCCAGCAGCAGTAACCCCCCTACCCCCAGCAGTAACCCCCTACCCCCAGCAGTAACCCCCCTACCCCCAGCAGTAACCTCACCCCCAGCAGTAACCCCTACCCTCCCAGCAGTAACCCCTCACACCTTCCACACACAGTACCCTACCCCCCACACACAGTACCCTCACCCCCCAGCAGTATCTTCTACCCCCAATAATACAGTACCCCCCAACCCTCCCAGCAGTACCCCTACCCCCCACACACAGTACCCCAACCCTCCCGCAGCACCCTTACACATATAGCACACACACAGCACCCCTCACATACAACACTCACACACACACGCACCCCCCACCTCAATGCAGTATGTGTGAATTCAGCAGTGTGTGTGTGTGTGCGTGTGCGTGTATTCAGCAGTCTGTGTGTGTTTGCGTGTATTCAGCGGACTGTGTGTACTCAGCAGTCTGTGTGTACTCAGCAGTCTGTGTATGTGTATTCAGTCTGTGTGTGTGTGTATTCAGCAGTGTGTGTATTCAGCAGTGTGTGTGTGTGTACTCAGCAGTGTGTGTGTGTGTGTGTACTCAGCAGTGTGTGTGTGTGTGTACTCAGCAATCTGTGTACTCAGCAATCTGTGTGTGTGTACTCAGCAGTCTCTGTATTCAGCAGTCTTGTGTGTGTGTATTCAGCAGACTGTGTGTATGTATTCAGCAGTCTGTGTGTGTATGTATTGCATTTGTTGGAGATACTAATAAATATAAGCTTAATTTTATCTATTTATATCATTTAAAATTTGTATCATTGAACTCTCTGTGTTCTTTTAAAACAAAAGTTATTAGTTCAGACAACAGTACAAGTTGTTTTTTTCTAAACTTAAACCTCAGTATTTGGGTTTAATTGCCGTATTGGCACTTTAAGGAGAAAAAATGTTGGCATGTATTGCGGTTTGGGCACTCGGGCTCAAAAAGGTTCGCCATCACTGTAATAGAGGGTTAGGAAGATAGAGAGAGCGAGAAAGCTAAAGAATTTTAAGAGACGTGTACTGTGTGAGAATCTCTGCATTGCAGCTCTGTGTAATACATCACAGTGATCCTGGCTGTGTGGGATAGTTATGGTATCTCTTTATTGTGCCCAACTCTGTGTATGATATATCTGTATTTTACTCAGCTCTACTTGTTATACGGTTATCTCTGTAGTCTACTGAGCTCTTTGTATTGTATAGGTATAGGTGTTGTGCCCAGCCCTGTGTATTATTTCTCGATTATTTTTTTCTCATCTCTGTTTGTGGTATGGTTATTTCTGTATTGTACTCAACTCTATGTATTTTAAAGATATCTATTGTATGAATATATCTGTATTAGGCTCAGCTCTCTGTATTGTACAAGTATCTCTGTACTGTAAAGGGAAGAGTAAATTTCTGGAGCCACACCATCTTAAAACCTCACCTGCTGCCACTGGCTGACTGTGATTGTGTTTTGGGGTCATTATTCTGCTTTAAAGAAAATTTAGGTTACTTAGCACCCGGGGTGAAACTGTATATTGATACCCCACCTCCATCATGGAATTGTAATTTTGTTGCTCAGCACCCCTCTTTACCATAAATATCTCTTGATATTCTTTGTGTTTTCATTCCAGAGCCCCTCTTATTCCATTGTGTGTCTTTTAACCTATTTTTAATAGCTTGTGATACTTAGCCCCCTTACTCTTTTGTGTGTCTTATCACCCTTTTTCTGTATCTTACCCCAATTTTGCACACCTACCCCACTTTTGTGTCTCTTTTGCCCCTTTTGTGTATATTATACTTCTTTTGCATCTTAACCCCCTTTTATGGTCTTTTACCATCCTACATTTGCCCCCTCATTTCTGCCTTGTATCTCTTATTCCTTCAAGTGTCTCTCTCTCCAACACCCTTTTGTATCGCTTAGTCTCCTTTTGTATTATGGCTTGCATGATAGGAGCGACTCTCTGCATACTATGAATGTCCTTTCTCAATCCTTTTTCTTGCAATAACCAACAATTGTAAGTGAACCTTCCCAAAATCCCGGCAAACCTATGCATGGGGAGCATGGGTGTACTCATGAGACCTTGCAGAAAACAACTTGGAGTGTTTTCTTGCAATAACCAACAACAGGCTCCCCTACATCACAGTCAAAAAGCAATGTGTATGTAAAAATGAAAATTGAACAATTACCACCACACACTAATTTTTGGGGCTAAAACAGTTGCATCAAAGCACTTCATATCAAATACCTCGGGGTGTCTATGTTTCACATATATAAACTTTCATGGCAATAAAATAAAACTGGGGTACGTTATAGGCCTATCTTTAGTTTTGGGCCTATCAAAAGAAATACTCTCAATATCAACTCAAATTACAAGTCATACAATTGTAAGTGAAACTTCCCAAAACCCTGGCAAACCTAAGCATGGGTGGCATGGGTGGCATGGGTGTATTCAGGAGGCCTTGCAGAAAACAACCTGGAGTGTTTTCTTGCAATAACCAACAACAGGCTCCCCTAAATCACACACAAACGTGTGTGTAAAAATGAAAATTTAAAAATACCACCACAAAATGATTTTGGCTAAAACGGTTGCATCAAAGGCATCAAAACACGCCATATACATTACCTTGGGGTGTCAACTTTTCAAATATATGCACGTTCATGGCAAGAAATTAAATTGGGATATGTAAAAAGGCCCCCCCCCCCAAAAAAAAAAGATAGACAAAGAAGATATGTCAAATGAAAAACATATGTCAGAAGTTTGAAAGTTTGCATTTCACCCCCCAAAAAACCCAACAAACCTATGCATGAGTGCTATCACTGTACTCAGGATATGTTGCTGAACACATATTGAGGTGTTCTTTGGCAGTAATACATAACCGGAGCTGAGAATCCATGCCTAAAGTACAATGTGAGAGAAAAATAACACACAAAAAATGACTACCCGAAGGTTGACAAAGACTGGTGGTAAAATTAGTGCATGGAAAGTGTTAAAAAAAACACTATTTGAAATACCCTAGGATGTATACTTTTCAAAAATATATGGTTAGATGGGGGGAAATTACATTGGCCGGCTTCAAAAATGTCCCAAATAGGACATGGGTGCATGATTACCAGCTGTGAAAATTCCAAGTTGGAAAACTGGAATGCGCACCCTCTAAATAAGGTATTTTAGCCCTCAGAAAACCCGACACACCTTTACATGGGTGGTATCACTGTACTCAGGAGATGTTGCTAAACACATATTGGAGTGTTCTATGGCAGTAATACATAACAGAAGCTGGGAATCCATTTGAAATACCGTAGGGTGTCTACTTTTCAAAAATATATGGTTTGATGGGGTAAATTACATTGGTCAACTTCAAAAATGTCCCAAATAGGACATGGGTGCATGATGACCAGCTTTGAAAATTCCAAGTTGGAATGCCCACCCTCCAAATAAGGTATTTTAGCCCCCAGAGAACCCGACACACCTATGCATGGGGGGGGTGTCACTGTACTCGGGAGATGTTGCTGAACACATATTGGGGTGTTCTTTGGCAGTAACCCATAAAGTTATCTGTACATGTATTCTTAAATTGCTATGTGTGCCAAAAAAATCACCAATTTTTTTATTTATTTTTTTATTTGGCATAGATTTGTGGTAAAATGGTTGCATTAAAATAGTCAAAATATCCCAAGTTTAATACCTTAGGTTGCCTTCTTTTAAAAAATATATACATGTGAAAGGTTATTCAGGGATTCCTGACAGTTATCAGTCTTACAATGTAACTTTTGTTAATTTAAAAAAAAAAAAATGGTTTGGAAATAGCAAAGTGCTACTTGTACTTATTGCCCTATAAGTTGCAAAAAAAGCTAAGAACATGTTAACATTGGGTATTTCTAAACCCAGGACAAAATTTACAAACTATTTAGCATGGGTGTTTTTTTGGCGGTTGTAGATACATAACAGATTTTGGGGGTCAAAGTTAGAAAAAGTTTTTTGTTTTCATCATATTTTATAAAAAAAATTTAAGTAAATTATATGATACTATGAAAAGAATGTTAACATTAGAAAGACCATTTAATGGTGAGAAAAACGGTATATATGATGTGTGGGTACAGTAAATGAGTAAGAGGAAAATTTCAGCTAAACACAAACACGACAGAAATGTAAAAACAGCCCTGGTCCTTAACGGTAAAATTTTTTTAAAAAGGTCTGGTCACTAAGGGGTTAAGCACATTTATCCAAAGTTTCACAGTACTCTTGTGCAATCACCGACACCAAGGTTAGACAAAATCACACTAGATGAATGTGAAAGGGTAATTATACATCTAGAGTGGTCTGGCTGACCTTGTGTTATTATTTCCATATTTGCATTGCAATTTCTTGTGTATTCGGAGGCAATTATATATTATTATAAAATGATATTGTTTTGATGTTGAATATGTTAAATATCAAAACATTAATATATGTATTGTTTGTTAGTTAATCTATAATAAAATCCACATTTTGCAACTCTTTTTGCTTAGTGTCCCTTGCATATTCAGGATACCCTTGTATAAATGGGTATCACTGGGTGAATGGGTGGACCACAAAATTTAAATATATAAAATGTATACAAAGCAGAGAAGGAACTTTATGTCATTTACCTTGGCAATTCTAATTCTAATTGATGAACAGCTGTTGCTACAGCAATATTAACTGCTTTACCAGGTTGCCAATAAGTGAATAAATTGTCTGTTTTAACCTATGCCGTTTGAATTTTGTCATATGCAAAGACCCACTTAATTATTGCAATTTATACATTTAGCAAATCACACATCTCTTGCAGATCCATAACTTTGGTAAGGCCCTGAAATATTGTCAGCTGATTTTGTGAAAATGACTGAATTCTGACCGCAATGACAATTTTTATAGTTACTAAAGCCAAATATGGTCATAATTCAGTCATTATGAGTGAAACTGCAATTGCATATTGTGTCCGGATTAATCATTGCTTTCACATCTGAACCCTTTACAAAGTATAGGATTCATAAAATTTAGAAACCACAGATTTTAATACAATTCGGGACCCAAAGCATGCAGCAGGATGCACATTTGCAAATGATCATTCCTTTGCTTTAGTGAATGAGAACAATAAGTGTAAGATCTATTTTCAAGCTCTGCCAATGGGCAAATAGTTAAATAACCCTTAGCATGCAAGAGTTTACCATTTGAAGGCTGGAGACAGCTTGCTTGCCAGCCATCACATTAAACAGTTAATAAATAAATAGTCTCTGGGAGTCAATAAGACTATGCACATACCATATCTATTAATTGTTTAAAACTAGTGACTGGAAAGTCATTGTTTCCCAGTTGCTAGAAAGGCCTCATCACATGGGATGGGGCCTACAAAATAATTATATGGAAATGTCAGGATCCAATCCTGACAAGCAAGACTTTTTTTTCCGTTGATACTGTTTCTTTAAAAAACCAAGTTCCTGCACGGATTATGTTTTACCACTAATGGCCTCCCTTGCCTCTAGTTCTGGACACTCACCTTATCATCCTCACCTGTCTGGACTAGTTGGGTTCCTAAAAAAGGAACATCCAACTCACCTCATTGCCTTTGCATTGAAGTTGTTGATCTGCCTGAAACACTTCATATCCTGGCTCCTGTGAACTTATCTTATTTGCTTCAGAACTACTTGCTTCCAACCCTGCTTAATACCAACTGAACTACTTGCTTCCAAACCTGCATAACACCAGCCTGAACTACTCTGCATTCCTGTTTGACTTCTAACCTGCATAATACCAACATGAACTTAACAACTATCCAGCTTTATCCAACCATCCTGAATTTTACCTACTAAAATCCAAACAATCTCTCTGCTCTATACCTGCCTCATAACACCACTCTGGACTCTGTCTCAAAAAAAAAACAGCATGGTGTTATTTTCCTGTTTAAGCAAACCTTATTCCTAAAGGGGGCTTTTTAACTTAAGTTCTCCTTTTCCTGCAACCTTATCATTCTGTCTAATTTGTCCTTTTATGTAACCTATACTTTTATCTCTATATGTTTTTTCTTATTTACTTCCATTTCTGATTGTATTCTGTTTGGGGCATATTGCCTAACTCCTGTTTTCAGTATACCTTCAACTTACTTGCTCATGATTTCTCTTATAGGTTATTCTTAATTCTCCAACCTATAACGTCATTTATAGGTTTACCTGTTATCCTATTTCCACTTTGACCTTTTTGTCTAAACCCTTTATTTTCATAACCTAGTTATCCTTACCTGTAAATTCAGTTATTCAGATCTGTTTGCTATCTCTTTCCTATTATTTCAATTATCGGATATACGGTTTATTTTATAATGTCTGAATCCAGCAATAAAGATCCTGATGTTAAGCCTGGCAATTGTCTCTTACCTGACCTGCTCTTCATCATGACAGGAAAAGTCTGAAGTTCTCAATATCACACTCCCCCCTGAGACAGAGATGCACCTGCGGGCGCTGTTCCTCTTCTTGTGGTGTGACATGCAGCTCAAGTACCTAGGCATATGGCTGACCAAAGAGTTATCCAAACTATGCCAGGCAAACTTCCTCCCTATCCTCGCAACCCTGCAGGTGGATATGCACAAGTGGGCAGATCTATACATTTCCTGGTTCGGTCAATGCCGTTAAGATGAACATCATCCCTCACCTCCAATATCTGTTCCAAATAGTCCTGGTCATAATCCCTAGAGCGTTCTTTAAATCAATGACCACAGCTATCCGAAGGTTTGTATGGAACTGGAGAGCCCCAATGGTCAGTAAAGCCCAACTGGAACTGCCCAAACATCGGGGAGGCACTGGGCTCCTATCGATTATTGGGTACTACCAGGCCATGCATCTACTCAGAAGAACTGACTGGCATGCCCACCCAACGACGAAACTTTGGGTACACTTTCGAAAAGGCACAGACTGGAGGAAAATTCCCATCATTACTGTGGCTAGGCAGTTAGACATACAACTCCCTCCGAACTGGTAACCCCTTGATTGACGCTACACTGAAAGTTTGGTGCTCCCTTCGCTACTCCAAGCAGATAACCACATCCCCCAGTCCGCCGACTCCCATTACCCAGACCTCGAGGGGGCCTGGCTCCTGCAGACCTCCACAATTTCGTACAGATAGACTGTAATTTTATGCACCAATGGTGTGATAGAGACAAACTCAAAACCTTGACTGATATGCACCCTGACGCGAACCCAACTGGTCTAGACAAATTTCACTACCACCAAATCAAGACCCACTATTCCACCTCTCCCGTAAATGCCTATTCCACAGAAATCTCACCCACTTTGAGACACTATGCAAGGCCATGCAATGTAGGGAGAGGGATCTCGATACTGTACGCAATGCTATTATCTGGGCAGGACAAACCACAGCCAAAGTTCATTGCCCGGTGGGAGAGGGAGAACGGAGAGACACTGACTACACAGGAGTGGGAAAAATTACATTTAAATTGCTTACTAACTGGCGTAGGACTCCTGACGTCCTGCACCGCATGAGCGCAGACAATTCAGAGGTGTGCTGAAGGTGTGGGTCAGACTTTGGCACCATACTCCACATCTGGTGGTCATGGCCTACAATTTCCCCCTTCTGTGCGATTAGGGAGATCTCAGACCCTGAACTGCCCCTCTAGCCTCTGCCCATGCTACTGCACCATAAAAACATGACAAGAAGTCTTTGACCAAACAAATGCTCACCGCAGCAAAAGCGCTGATACCCACATATTGTAAACAGACGGGTGTGCAAGCATTCCAGTAATGGGTTGATAGGGTGGGAGAGATCTATGCCATGGAATCAATGCCATGGAATCAATGATGGCCGTCATACAGGGTCGCACAGAAAAGTGCACCCGGACAACCACTGTAATCTAATAATTTATTAAAATTGTTGTTGTTGTTTTGTTTTGTTTTTTTGTTTTTTTCCATCTGCTTCCTTAGATCCAGGGGGAGTAAACAAAAGATTAAACAGCACCTGTGGTCCTCAGTTGTGGTATATGCCAAACAACTAAAGTGGTTATAGTGCCAATTCCACCCTACTTCATTGGAAATCTAACAGCACAAGCTATTCCATAAAATAGTTCACTCTTAGTAATTGGCTTTTAGATTTCTATGGTATTGATTAAACTGCAATTAGTACAAAAATTTCATTCTTCACCACTTTTGGTCTCCACGCTACATTTTTTTTTTTTAAAACCCTCCCTTTCTTCCTTCTTAATATTTATTTCTACTATGCCCTGTAGTGTCCAGCTGCAAGAGATGGGGAATGTTATCTATCAAGATGTCTGATATAATTAAATTTAGCAGTATTTAACCTTGCTTACTGTGATTTTTGAGTGAATTTCTATTATTTCTGAAAGACAGCAACAAATTCCAATTTGGATGTCCATGAATTAACCCAAATTGCTCTCCAATAGATATTATTTGTTAGGGTATTACATTACATTATGTAAATAGGGTAATTGTGAAGTGGCAAACATATAAAATATGGAGCAGCAGCTTGAACATAGTGCTTGTTGTTGAGATTGCTTCACTTTTAAGAGCTTTACCCAAAGAAAATCCATTTATCTCAGGACATTGAAATCATAATAAATAATGTGTGTGGCATATTCAAGATTAATACAGTTACCATTACATGTCTTGCAGGTTCAATTTTCTTCTTTAAAGAGAAAGTATTGCCTAAATATTTAATAAAATAAAATGTAATCCTTTTCGTGTTATAAAACCCTGAACATCCCTGTGGCACATTAATTGTTAAATCTCATTGTTACAAGAAATAAAAGCTAAGCATTAAAAAAGATTTCATTTAGCTGTTTCAAAAATTGACTTGTTTCATAAATGAAACATCTACTGAAATCCCAGAATAATTAATACTGACAGGAAGCTTTTTCTTATGATTGTTAAAGGTGCCAGCTTTCCTCTATAACACCAGAAGCAGAATGTATATAATTACTTGTGAATACAAAGAATCCTTGGAACTCGACAGGGCCTCTTTGGTCTGTTGGGATACAATATGGATAATTACACATCACTTTTCTATTAAATTCATATAGCAGATACAGCTCTTGAAGGCCTCTCAATCTAAATTCTTCAGGATTGGATAATAGCCCAAATACTAATTACATCCCTAAAGGGAGATACATGGTGTTCTACCAACTTCCAAACTGGAAATTGATGAATAGCAGGATGATGTTCCAATGAAACTTACTACAGTTAATGTAATTATATGTTCAGCTGAGCATTACAACTATCTTAGTCTAAAACATACCAATAAAGTCTTAATATTTGGTTTATTCAAATCTGTAAACCTAAATAGCATGACCAATATGGAATAACTTGGCTGTGGTGCCCTATATAGATTTTTTTATGGGAAGTGGTTAACTAGGTTAAAGGGACTTTGTGACCTAAATATTGTTTATTATGTTGACGCAAAACCAGAATATGCGAACTGTGAGAACGGACAAAAGCTTTGAGAAACTCAATAGCTTGCCCTTTGGTAAATCCCCATTCAAACTCAAAATTGGTTTTGCTCGCTTGTTCCATTACAGAGTGAAGTTAAATACCATTTGCACATCAGTCTGATCCCACCTGAGGGCAGTCCAGTTCCCTCTGCACGAAAGATACAGCAACCCCAAACAAATCATTTTGGCCTTCTTGGGCCTCATCAGCAAGGTGTAGCTGATACATTGGATCCCTGCTCATATCTCAAAATAGTATATGCTCATCTTAAACAACAGAGTGAGCCTACAGTGAGGGAAAGGGGTATTTGATCCCCTGCTGATTTTAAGCATTTGTCCACTGACAAAGAAATGATCAGTCTAAAATTTTAATGGTAGGTGTATTTTAACAGTGAGAGACAAAATAACAAAAAAAAAAAAAAGAATCTAAAATAAACGCATATCAAAAAAGTCAAATTGATTTGCATGTCAATGAGTGAAATAAGTATTTGATCCCCTATCAATCAGCAAGATTTCTGGCTCTCAGGTGTCTTTTATACAGGTAACTAGCTGAGATTAGGAGCACTCTCTTAAAGGGAATGCTCCTAATCTCAGCTTGTTACCTGTATAAAATACACCTGTCCACAGATGCAATCAATAAATCAGATTCCAAACTCTCCACCATTGCCGAGACGAAAGAGCTGTCCAAGGATGCCAGGGACAAGATTGTAGACCTACACAAGGCTGGAATGGGCTACAAGACAATCGCCAAGCAGCTTAGTGAGAAGGATGACAACCGTTGGTGCGATTATTCGCAAATGGAAGAAACACAAAATAACTGTCAGTCTCCCCCGGTCAGGTGCTCCACGAAGGACTGAAATTTTGCAGCGCCCACAAGGTCCCCCATCTCAAGAAAGTACAAGGCCTGTCTGAAGTTTGCCAGTGAACAAATGAATAATTCTGGTTGAAAGTGTTGTGGTCAAATGAGACCAAAATCAAGTTCTTTGGCATCAATTCAACTCGTTTTGAGGAGGAGGAATGCTGCCTATGACCCCAAGAACCCCAAGAACACCATTCCCACCATCAAACATGGAGGTGGAAACATGCACCGTCAAATCTTGGGTAAGAACCTCCTTCCCTCAGCCAGGACATTAAAAATGGGTTGTGGATGGGTAATCCAGCATGACAATGACCCAAAACACACAGCCAAAGTAACAAAGGAGTGGCTCAAGAAGAAGCACATTAAGGTCCTGGAGTGGCTTAGCCAGTCTCCAGACCTTAATCCCATAGAAAATCTGTGGAGGGAGGTGAAGGTTCGAGTTGCCAAACGTCAGCCTCGAAACCTTAATAACTTGGAGAGGATCGGCAAAGAAGAGTTGGACAAAATCCCTCCTGAGATGTATGCAAACATGGTGGCCAACTACAAGAAACATCTGAGGGTTTTGCCCCCAAGTACTAAGTCGAAGGAGTCAAATACTTATTTCACTCATTGACATGCAAATCAATTTATATATTTTTTGACATGCATTTTCTGGATTTTTCTTTTGTTATTCTGTCTCTCACTGTTAAAATACAACTACCATTAAAATGATAGACTGATCATTTCTTTTTCAGTGGGCAAACGTTCAAAATCAGCAGGGGATCAAATACTTTTTTCCCCCACTGTATAGTATGTTTGCACAGGAGATTGACTGTATAGTGAGTGCCTGATGCAAAAAAAACTACTACTACTAAACTTTGATATTCTGTGCTAGCAAAACTGTACAGAAATCAATTGACCAATACCAAATAGTTGATGGTACTTTCCTATTAAACCTAAAGGATACAATGGTAGGTGGTTCTATCCTGCAGATGCAGTGTTGAGATTTTAATAGATAAGTAACTAACCGACAGCTAAAGAGATAGGAAACGTGTTTACTTTCACAAAACTATGGGCAAGTCCCAAAAGCTGTACATCTTTGAGGTTGCCAATGTTAAAAACAGATTGCTGTCTAAAATCAATAAAAAAAATTATCTTTCATCCTTCTGTTTAATAGTAACCTGTTTTGGGTTTTTGCAACACTTTAACATAATGACATCAATGAAACTTGTGAATATGTTTAAGGGACAATTTTATTAGTGGGTGGCCAAAATGAGTGCTTAATAAAGCCCTTTAAATCCATTTAAATGTGAGTCTGAGTGGGTTTGTGTCTGCCCCCAGTCAGGAGAACCCCAAAGGTCTAAAAGACTCTGGCAGGGTATCCATGCATGCACCCCTTCTGAGTGACAGGGTTTGCCAGCTGCCCAGCATCGATCACTGTGTGTGTTATCAACAGGTATGATCAGCAGGGACAGCATGCCAGAGTTGCAGCCTGAAAGGGAGCTCTCTGTGCTGTGTGAACTGGACATCTCTGTGTGAGTTAGAGTTTGCATTAGGATTGTAGTCAGTGTAGGGTAAGGGTTAATGCTAGGTTAGGGTTAATGCTGTTTTATGGTTAGGGATAGTGTAGGGTTAAGGTTAGGGGTAAGGTTAGAATAGATGTACGGTTAGAGTTAGTGTAAGCATGCAGTTACGGGTAGGGTTGATGCAGGTTATAGGATGATTTGGTAGAGCATTAGCTTTAATTAACACTAATTTAGATCCTATGAATACGATACAGTTAACAATCAGGGCTGGGTTATTTTGAGTTTTTTCTTTAGTTGCACTTAATGTATAAAAAGTATTATAAGCAAAAATGTGGGGTTGCTTTCTTTTCCATTATTCCAATTTTTTTACATTTTATTCATTATGTTGAGTTAGGTATACATATAGGATATTAATAGAAAACCCTTCCTGTCCTTTAAAAAACATTAGATAATATGTATGTGTGCACTATGAGAGAAACCCTTACATTATGTTGGTAAAAACAGAGCACAAATTCTAGATGGTATCTTTGCAGGGCACGCACGGGAGCAGAGCAGGGAGATGACAGCTCACTCTCCCCCCCCCCTCCCCCGGGTGTATTCCAAACAGCGCCCGCTGGTACGTCTCTGCCCTCCCTCAAGATGGACATGCTCTCTGCCACAGCTAGCCAGCCGCTTTCGCTCCCCCATGGCCGGCCATCTGCATTCTCCCTTGACACTCCGGGCCAACATATTCCAGACACAGGACACAATTCCTAGTCGCCATGGTGACCTGGTGCCTGGGATTTGTCGAGTCCTGAGATACAC